CAGACTGCGTACGATCGGTGAGGAAGGAGGAGAACCACCGCATAACCGTGCCTCCCACTCCCAACCCACCTAAGCGCCGCAGCATGATACTGTGGTCCACAGTATCAAAAGCCGCTGAGAGGTCCAAAAGAACTAGGACAGAGGAATAACCTCTGTCCCGGGCCCTCCAGAGATCATTGACCAACGTGACCAATGCCGTGTTTCCGTGTTATATTCACATACCAAAAGTTATTTGGGTGTAATTCAACCATCTCAGTATCATCTTGCTATTAGTAGGCCACTACAGATATGATGATGATTGCTATTTTCATGTTCTCTTTTCCTTCATTGTGTTATGTCTACAACCACAAGCTGTGTCCTCTGAAGCAAATCCAAGACCCTTCCCTAAGAGGGGGAGAAAGATTGAAGGGTTGCACTCTTTGGATTCTCAAACTACAGATTTACTCTATGATATATTATCTTATTTAGCATCCATATACTGGGGAATTAAAAGATGTACTATTTTGGTTAGTAGGATTAGAAGTGGAATTAGATTAAATTAAAAACTGCATATGATTTTAGAGATGAAAGGCATTTTAGGCTTTTCTTTGAGATGTTCCCACAAACTCTATTCCTCTTTACTAAAGTTCTGTATGGAATATTTGTTTGTTTGTAAAACAAGATGTCCTTTTAAAAACATGGGCCATGCTAATTTAAAATAAATTTAGAGAATAATTTTATCATCAAGGAAATCATTCTTTTAAGGGAAATGGTTTAGTGAGATGCATACTGGCAATGCAAAGGATCAAAATTACCCCATTCTGTCAAGGATATTATAATATTCTCTATAGTGTTATTAATTTTGGGCTGGATGGGAAAAGAGAAGAGATGGAAGAGAAAGACTGCAAGATAATGAATTCATAGTCATTTTTTAAAATTCAATAAAAGAGCACACTTCTCATTTGATGCACAACAAACACCGCCTATTGTGGCCTTGTGCTTCTGCTTCTGCCATATTGGGTGAAAGAAAGAGAAAAATGATGCCAAATAGTACATGAACAGTCACCTCTACTGCCAAGTGTCACACATTGTTGGTTTAAAAAAAGGGGAGGGGAAAAAAAATCAAAGATAATGGAAGTAGGCCTTCCCAAAAATCTTCTCATCCCCTCCCCACTAACTCTATCTTCATGAAATTATGCACTGATACAGATCATAAAGTCTTATGAATTTTTTTCTGTATATATAGGGTAAGTTTTATAATCTGTTCTCTGCCAAGTGGACTTTTGTTATGGCAATAGTCTTGCAAAATGGCTCTCCTGGTGGGTGTGGCCAGTCACAAAACTTCCATTACATGAATATGATTAAAGGCAAGTATAGGAGGCAGGACAAAAAGACTAAATTGCTCCTCTTGTAGTTAGGCAACAATGTTCTTTATTCTATCTTCCCATTTATTTATTTATTGGCCCCTGATCTTATCACAGGGTAACTTTGGGCAGCTTACAATATGAAAATTTACTTATAACAATAACTTTCATTAAAGCAGTTGTCCCGTTGATCACTTCATTCATTTATTTAATTTGCTTTTATACCGTAAACTCTTGATTTACTCAAATAGTGGTGAAATGGAGTTTCCATTAAAGCATAACGTCCAAATAAGATTTCATGCATATGCATTTTATATATTTCATGCATGTGTGAAACTGCAAATGAGGTTGTAATTTGATTTAATTTATTCAATTTAGGTTCCACCTGATTCCAAACTGATTCTGAGAGGTGGTACAATAAAACCAAACAAAATACACATAATAAAATATAATAACAAACAAGTAAGGGAATTAAAAAAAATGATTTATATATATCCAGAAGCACAGGAACCCAAGCAGACTTTTTAAAAAATTGGCTCATTGGTGCTGCAAAGATCCAAGATGTCCACTGGATGGAAGCAACAACATACTGAAAACTTTAATTCTTTGCTACCATCCAGTGTTTATATGAAGTTTTGCATCCCTGAATCTGACAGTCTTGATACCATATTTCCACAATGATATACTGGTGCAGCGAGCTATAAAGGTTTCTTTGATTTGCAGAAATGAAAAAGAAAACCTGATATACAGAGAACAAAATGCAGTACAAACATTATATAGGATATATGCAAGAACCACTAAACTATTCCTAAACCTCAAAAATAGTAATTGTTCCACTCTAACTTTTCAGCCAGGCTTTGTAGAGCTGGATCAATAGTACAGTAATTATTTTGCTAGTATTGTATAATAAACTTCATACTGCATTCTGAATTTATACACGCATTTGTACATGTACATAAAAAAACCAGTATTTATGTTTATATATCACAATGTATTTGGGGGAAATAAGATTTATTACTGGGACATCTGTCCTCAAAGCAAAAGGACCTGACTATTTGTGTTCTTTTGCTCCCATCAATGAGGTCCTTATGCTAAGCTTTTGTAGAAAAAAATTATACATAAATGATTTCCAAATAAAAAAGTTATAGTTTTTATTCTTACTGTTGGTCAAATTTTGCTAATATAACTAACTCTTTCACACACAAATGTAAGTATAAAATTCCTGAGAAAATAATAGAAATTTTATTTTTTTATTTATTGAATTTCTAGTCCTTGCAATAATAGAAGCTATTCTGACAAATCTCATAAACCAGTTATATTAAATATATATATAAAGGATTTTTTTAATGGCTTAAGGCAGGAACAAAAAGAACTGTGCTGCCTGAATCACCATGTGTGTGATTCTGTTTAAAATATTGGTGCCTTCGTCCCTGAGACAATGGATTCTGAGTTGTCGTCTAAATAGCTGACAACTTGTTTGTGGGATAATGACTTAGAATAATTTTTCATGTAACCAATCACTGAACTCTGGAAACATTTACTTTTATGGTCTTTGCAGCTTTGGGGGAACATTGCATTGAACTCTTAGACCAGGATCAGTAACAAGCAGCTTATGGGCTGTGTACAGCCCCAACCTGAAGTTTGCCTAATTCACCCATATATTTTAATTAACTTTTCTTCTTAGGGTGCTGAATATACTTCCTGCCAATAACTGATAGAGAAAATTACAAGGCAACATGTTCCTTTAACTATCCCATTTTTTCTCTGGGCAACTTGACTGATATCTGTTTTTTTTAAGCAGGCATGGGAAAACAGTGTCTTTTTTGTATATTCTCAAGTCCCCAAAGTTCCAACTTCTAAGGTCACAGAATGATAACAGTTAGAGTCTATCATACCGGAGTATTATCAGAATCTTATTTAATGAGACTAACAAATGTTGGATGTTAGTAGATGTATGTATCTGCAAGGAGATAAAACTTTTATTAAGTTTTTCATATATCTACTGCAAAGATGGGACCGGAAGCATTTTCCAAGGCTATTCCACAATTTGTGCAGCAAGACACTTTTCTTGATTCTATTATGCCACTGAATGTTTGGATTTTATCTTCGATTTTAAACTTTGCTGCATATTTTAAAATAAAGCACACAAAATTTATTTCATGCCACTTAAAATTAGAAATCAGTTGTTACCATTAGCAGGAAGATAGGTGAAAAGTTGGTACTGGCTTCTCTTTCTCTTTCCATTACAAACATAGAAATTGACTTGAACAGGACTTGTAATTCTCTGATTGCGGAATGGTGGAATCTCAACAACTAATAAAGTCTAAAAAAAGGATAGAAGTAGGTTAATGGTGAAGCACAGTTAAAGAACATTTGGATCACAAGAATAAAACAAACAAATGCCTTGGCTGGCACTGAAAAAGGTAAATGACCTGCTTTAAGAACACTGGAACGTAAGATTAGCCCTCTAATCATTATCATCATTAACATTTCTTCAGGACATACAGTATCCTCCTAAGAGAACTCCTATCATGCAGCTGGCTTACTGCTGAGACAGGCTAAAGTTGGATCAAGTAATCCATGTGAAAAACAAAGACGACCGTTTTGCAGACATTAAATTGGTTTGGAAACCTGTTGAGCTCCTACTCAATATAGGACCCAACCTCCTATCAGACTGAGGACTCTGGAACTCCATGGCCATACTTACTATGGCTGCCAGGGTGCACTTTGCAGCTCTTCTGCCATTATCTCCTTTCCTTTTTCTTATACTTTTTTCAGAATACAGAACACAAGGCTTTGTAGAAGACCAAATGTAGGACTTCCATGAGCTTGCCAAAGAAGGTGAACACGGAAAGGATCTTAAAGGCTTTCTCCAAATCCAACAGCAATTATGAGCCCTACTGTAGGCAGGGCCCTTGGGAATACAGCTCCAGAGTTGTGATTGCAACTCCTGCACTGCTCCTTAGTACTGAAATGGTGCTTCTCTCATTTTTGCTTGATGCTCCAGAACCAGATACCTTTGGGGTCCCTATTTCATCCACCCCTCTTTTCCCCTGTATCATGACATCTACCTTGTGACAGCAGAATCTTGATACATCTGGCTACTTTGGTGGTGGCAGTTCTGCTATAATAGTCTTTAAAAAAGGATAGAGGTGAGTTTAATGTCAATCCACTTATTTCCACTGCCCAGAGAATGCCAAGCATGCTGGTTTCTCCACTCTGGTGCCCCTGCCTCCTCCCACTATAGAAAAGAGGGCAGGATCAATACCAGCCTCTCTGCAGAGATGAGGGAAATAGTAGACTGTGAGAGCAGTACTTTTAAAAAATCCCTTCTCAAGAACAGGAGGAAAGCACATCAACAGAATGGTATGGAGGAGCTCTTAGCTTAGTATTTAGATTTTCATAGTCAAGAAAACTTACACCTAGTATTTGAAGGCATGCCACCTCCATACATTCCAGAAGTTAGTGTATTGATAGGCTGTCTTCCATACATTTATATAGTATGGAGTCCTTTTAAAGTCATCCAAATTAATCATTCCAACCATGATGGTCCTACTCATAATGATCTTTGCTTTGGCCCTATTTAAATGAGCCCTTAAAACTTGGCTCTTTTTCCAGAACCAGGTTAGGATGGGTGATGGGTCCCATATGTATGTTTTGTTTTTAAACATGACTGTTGTTTTTTCCTGAGTTTTGATATATTTTTTTATTTCCTATTGTACCTTAATCGTTGAATGTGTAAGTCACTGAGTATCCGGACAGATTAGGGAGGCATCTACATTTCATAAATGAATGATTTTGAAAAAGAGGCACTTACTGGCTTACACAACTCTTTGTCAGTTTTGGCTTCCATTTCCCACACATGATGACCATCTAAAGATAAGGACATGAAAGATCCAAATTAATGTGCTTAGTGCTTTATAAATCACACAAATAAGAGGGAGGGCTCCCCCTTTAAAATATCTTTATTATGCAGATAAGATATGCAAGATGAGTTCAGTTTTACAGTGAATAAAGAAATAAATACTTCTATTTTAAAAAGTTTGAGGAAGAGAAGGGAAGGATAGGACTTATCCATTGATTCTGCTTCTACAGCCAATGACCTGGTTCAGTCACCAGTGAATGCTCTTTGCTTTTGCCTAATTGGGCAGAGTTGCTTAATTTTTCTTCATAAAAGAAAAAGAAGTAGGGTCTCTTTCCATTTGTGAAAGGTAACCTACTGCAAAGTAATTATCACTTGCTAGCTTTTAATTTTTTTAAAAAAATGTATATTTTATAAAATATAACGTAATGCAGTGGTTTCTTTGGTTTTATCTATTCCTTCAACTGAAACTGTAGCTTATATTGTGTCTAACAGAAAGTTTTTGCAGGATATAGAGTAGGGGTCTCCAAACTTGGCAACTGTAAGACTGGTGGACTTCAACTCCTAGAATTCCCCAGCCAGCATGGCTGTCTGAGAAATTCAAGAAATTGAAATCCACAAGTCTTACAGTTGCCAAGTTTGGAAACCCCTGTTATATAGAGAGGATAAGAGTTAGGTTATTGAGTAAGTAACATGAAGTGTCCGTGTTGGCCTTACGTGAACCATCAACTGATTCTGTAATGTCAGAAGTTCCACATGAAAGATATGTTATCATCATAGCTTCTTGGGCTAATGATGAAATCTCAAAGTTTGATTGAGGCCAATTGTGCTAGAGACTTGACCAGTGAAAAGTTGAATGCATTCTTAGGCTTTTGATATTAATAGAATGCCTTGGAGACGTTAACTGGGTATAATGCTGAGCAAAAGTATATTCCAACCATGCTCTTTTCTGGCTCAAGACTGAATTCTTAATTCTTTCTTCCCGCATTATATTGTGGTCATTACATTGTGGATTCAAGCCAGGGGAAGCCGGGTCAAATGCCTACCCGGCCATAAAAAATATAGGATAACCGTGGCCAGTCATGACTGCACATCTTAATTGATTTCTCCAGGTTATTATAATGATTAAAACTGGGGAAAATCTTTCTGTCCCAAGGTCCCATCAGTAAGGCTGAATAAAAAATACTCTGGGTAGAATAATCCAAACTGATATCCATCTATCTTTCTGTCACTTTTATAAATGAGCAACAGAACTTTTAATATTTGGTATATTTAATCTCTTCTGAAAAGAGGAATTGCTCTGTTGTGTTTTCAAGTTGGTAAAGCGTATATGGGCGTTCAGGAAAGTACATTTTAAGAATAGCATACGTTTTTTTTAAAAGTCCAAAAGTAGGAATGATACTGAGTGCTTGGCAATCTGAAATAAGCAAGCATTACTGCTGCTGTATTATGAAATTTCCATGAGAATCCCCAGGCTTTCTCTATTACAGAAAAGAGGGTGAAAATAAATTACTTAATAAGAATAAATTTCATTTAACAAAAGCAGAATAAATCAGTTATGGTGCGTTGAGTCAGTTGGTGCCTATATGGACAGTTTCATGCAGTGTCTTGGCAACATTTCCGAAGTGTGTTGCCAGTACTTTCTGGGACTGGGAGACAATGGCTGGCCCAAAATCTTCCAGCTGTTTTTCATGCCTAAAGAGGATTAGAACTCACTATCTCCCACTCCTAATCCAGGGCCTTTAACTGCGAAAATTGTGGGAAGGGAAGGGAAGGGAAGGGAAGGGAAGGGAAGGGAAGGAAAGGAAAGGAAAGGAAAGGAAAGGAAAGGAAAGGAAAGGAAAGGAAAGGAAAGAAGGAAGACAATTCCTGACATTATGTTTGGTGAACCAAAAGGAAAATCTCTACACCCACAGACTGGGATCAACTCCAAGAGAGAAATCCTAGATCATTACACCAACATCTCTACAGTAAACATGTTTGATAAGTGTATATGGATCAATCTGTTTATTTTTGAGAAAACATACAGGAGTTGATAAAATAATTTTTAGGGATCTTGGAATGCTAAAAAGACTTGCTTATCCTGGGGAAAAACGTTTTATGTCAGTACAGCATTTGCCAGCTATCCTATCCAAGTATGCAAGATGCCGTCTCTTGTCAAAATGTGCTGGAAGAGTAAGGAGTGATACGCCACAAAATTTTCCATTGTAAAGCTGCCACATCTGCATCAGCCTGACTGACTCACAGCCGAAGGCAACTCCCTACCTGGCTAAAATCCAACGAAAGTACACCAGAGCAATTTATACCTTTCCAAAATGCAAATAATTCAAATTACAGACATAACATAAAGCTGAAACAGACACATTTCAGGCATTCTCTGTTTGAACTGAACTTACTGAAGGGTTTCTTCCCAAATGTTGCTTATTATATATGTGTAAAATGCCAATAAAGCAAAAAGTAGCAAATCTTTCATCTCTTCTCCTCACCTATTTTACCCTCTAAAAAACAAAAGCAGATTGAGGGCAAGAGAGAGAGAGATTTTGGCGAATTCTGTCATTTTATTTTTCGTATGGTTGGAGTCAAATATTTAATTCTTTAAAATCTGACGCACAATGATTTAAGGTTTCTTAGTGTTAATTTAAGATTTGGGTCCAGAAGTTGAAATGGCAAATGCACAACTTATTTCTAAACAAAAGCATGTTAGCAAAATAAGATGGCTTTTAAAAAAAGAAAAGAAAAGAAAGGGTTCCTTGCCTATTGTTTGTGTCTAACTGCTCAAATTAATGCCAGATTCTGCACAGGAGAATCAGTCCTAAGGTTATGTCCATCCAGGGAATAGAGATTCAGTCCTGACACTTCTGAAGCTGTTCATTAGCTTCTTCTCTTACCTAAGGGAAACAGGCTAACTAAACAGAGGCACAGCCTTCCTGTTTATACAGCTGAAGGCAAGGTGGGGGGAAAATCCCAGAACAAGTTAAATTCACAAATATAAACTGAAGCTTTCCTTTCGTTTTAACAGGGTCTGAAATACAATTAATTAGAGAGATTAAGAGTGGCTTCTCACATTCACTTCCTGTGCTGAAGTCCCCAGTTTTTTTTTCTAAGTGGGCTTTGTTTGCACCATACAAATCCAAAGAGCTTAAGGGAGGGTGTTTTTCCAAAGTTTTGGAGTGGCTTTCATTTTGGCAGCCTACCAGAAAAAGCCACAATTAACTCCTTCTAACATGCACTTCTGTGCGTTGCCGAGAAGAGTTCTGGCTTTTGTGTGTGCGCGCGTCCTCACATCTAATAGGAATTGTTTCCCAGCAAAACCAAACGCCAACACAATTTTTTTCATTAGGATGCGGATAAAAATATTCCTACAGGATAGAAGTGACTCGGTCATCATTCAGGGATATGGGCTGTTTTTCAAGCAAAGGGGGGGGGGGTTGGCACTGAGATTGGTGGCAGGGTATTTTGCGCCCCTATTTCGTTACTTTGTAGGCTGGTTTTAATGGCTAAAAATAAAAGCAAAGTTCCAGACTGGAATGTCTCAGCTCTGAATAGGTCTTTGTAATTCACTCTGTATCCACCATTCTCTGCAGTTAAAAAGGAAACTTGGCAGAAGTAAAAAAAAAAAAAATCCTAAAATCATCAGGGAATTCCCTGCACTGAGTCACAGAAACGGCTTCCCCACCACACCCATTGAGAAGATTTCCACATAAAAAGCCACTGGAGGCTTGTTCTAACATAACAGCAAAAGAACTAAAAGGTGTTTTGTAAATCTCATCATCCTGGTTATTTCTAGGCAGCCTTCTATTAGGCAGCATTCCATTCAGTATTTTTTCTTCATATTTATTAAAATCTCAATAGTAATATGGAAGAAATTTAACTAGAAATATGTTGGATTCTTAATGAATGATTAAGCTTTACTTATATTACTCAGTATATTTAATATGCTGCATCATAAGCTGCATATAAGCTGCAAACATCTTGTATGTTTGATGGTCATATTTAAGTTTAAGCCACAACTTGGAAAAGTCTCCTTATAAACAAACTTGGAACTGAAACCCAGATAGCTAGATAATACTCACAGAATTGCAATATCTGGTTTTCTTTTCTTTAGAGTGTAAATGCAAGAATTTCATGCAATGTGTTAGTAGCTTTTGACTTTAAACAGAATTATAGAATTAAATGCACTTTTGAATCTATCTGAGTTTGGCTGGAAGGATGATTCACTACACAAATATCTTCCCTAGGGAGTTGACTATGTTCAGATAGATAAAGCTGCTTAATTCAATAAGGGGGTACATTTGCCAACCTTCATCAACCTAATGTTCCTCCCCCCTCAGGTATGCATGGAACTATAACCATATTACCATGACTTGGCTGGAATTTGTGAAAGTTATAATCCAATACATTGTAAAGAACTTAGGTTGTGGGTGTATCTGACCTAACCAAGAATGCTACCAAGAATGTCCTGCCATATAAACTCTGTATTTTGTGTCCCAAAGGTGCTCTTTTTCCAAAAGGCAACTGGACTTTCTTGGTTTCCCTCCTCCCCCCTTGAAAACATTTCACTTCTCATCCAAGACTTTTCTTCAGTTCTTCGGGTCTTCACTTCTCACGTTTTCAAAGAAGAAAAAAGCCAAGAAAGGCCAGTTGCCTTTTGAAAAAGCACCTTTGGGACAATTGTGACCTGAATGATTGGGAATCTCCATAGATATTTATATTTTTATATTTAAATCTGTTTAAATGTGCTTCAGCAACCTGGTTTCTGATATATTTTAAACATTGCATCACTAGCGTTACATTTAATCAGTCTCCAATTAAAGAACTAATTTGCCTACAAATGTTTCTCTTATTTAATTGGATCTGAGATTTGAATTCTGCTCTTGCACATCTCATTCTCATGCAATAGAGCACATGTTCCAAAGTCATCTTAAAATGACTTGTGGATAAGGTATTAGGCTTCACAGGTCACAAAGTCTTTGCACGCAAAGCTTATTTAATTAGTGTCAAGAGTGAAGAA